AGGAAAACACAGCAGCCGATCTCGCCGTCGGCCATGAGATCAGATGGAGGAGGGGAAAGGGGGAAAGCTAATGGGAACAATGGTAAGAAATTGTGGGGAGAGAAATAAATAGGCCGCCACGTATCTCCAGCTGGCGAAATCAGCTCGTTTTGGACTACGTTTGTTCCCAACGGTCATATTTTTCCTTTATTATTATTATTATTTGTGGGAATTATTACAACGAGGACTTTTCTTTTTTTCTTTATTATTATTATTATTATTATTATTTATTTACAAACAAGTGAGGCATGCAATAAAACAAAAAATAAAAAAATAAAACAATATTTGAGCTGGAGCTTAGCGCCAACAAGCTCAGCCGAGACGCGTTAAGTTGCAGGTACAGGTTATTGGCCAACGGCATATTGATCCATATGGACTTCGATAAATTGCCAAACAAATTTCTTTCTTGTATTTTTCAAATACATATATTACAAATGGCATCTAATTGACTTGCTCTAACAAATGGACATAATGGATAAAATAATACCAAATGCAACACGTAATTATTTGTTTTGGATTATTATAATATAGATGATAATTTTTATTTATTTATTTATGAAGAAAGTCATGGCATGCCGACCTCTCTCTTCTATATTTGCCATTCTAACTAATTAGTAGGCCAGTAGATGTTTGCATACACAATTCTTAAGCATTGCATAAAAAACATTACACGATTACCCTTTTAACGTAAAATACAAATATTTTCATACATATATATATATATATATATATATATTCTATCTAAGAGCAAGCCCTAATAAGGGAAAATATCAAATTCTGGGTGTTAAACTAGTAAATACGTACATAAGAATGGTGTGGTATGGATGTAAAAATTCCTTAAATCAATTCAATAAGAATAAAATTGTGCATGCTCTTATTTAGATGTTTTTTAAAAACAGCATGCTCCAGAATTTGAATATTTGAGTCATTCGATTTATAAAGAAGAGGCGAGGAGGCACGTGTAGCTAAGTATCACAAACACCCCTACAGCGAACTCATTTAGCCAAGACCACGTGTGTGCCACGTGGCGCACGTCTGGAATAAAACTAGTCTCCACGTAAGTAGGCACTCACCTCCTACTTCTGCCTCGATCGTTGATTGATTGATAACTAACCCTACATGAAAATGGAAATGCGCATGGAAATATGGTCTTCACCTTCTACTTGGCCTTCCCAACTCCGATTTCTCATCATCCTCCTCATCCTTCTGTTGTCTCCTTCAGCTTCTCAGGCGGGAGAGTATAAATCGAATGAAAAAGAGGAGAAACTAACCCTAGATGCAGTGGAGAGAGGGATCGGTTTCACCCGCTTCAACAGCCATTGGGAAGCTTTCAGCTCTTGGGCTAAGCTCACATGGATGACCCTCCGTCCTCCCGAATCTTCGGGGTCGGCTACCCTGTTATTATTATATTGAATTTTATGTGTTCATCTATATGCATTAATGACGGCGGATTTAGGTGATTTAAGTTTGATTTAATTGGTTGTTGGACGTGCAGAAAATCGGGAACAGGAGAGAAGATGAAGGCAGCGTCGAAGAAGAGCTTTAAGACGAGCAAGGATACGGTGGAGATGTCTGCGGCGGCGGCGGCAAAAGCGGCAGAGAAAGCGGTGGGGATGACGAAGGATAAGATAAAGAAGGCTGTTTTTAAATCTAAGGGAGGCGGAGGACAGGATGCAGAACTCTGATTCCAATTCCGGGATCAATCCCATTATTTTGGTTTCAAGGATGCAATTTCCTCTTCTTCTTTTTTTTTTTAATTTTTATTTTAGTTTGGAATTAAAATTTTGTAATAATTTTGTCACACTACTTGCTCAGTATTTCGATTTACGTTTTGTATGCAATTCTGTCGGGACTGGCTACAGCTTTTTAGAAATCTAGTTGTAAACTGTGGTGAATAAATCAACTGTTCAACTTTTACAGAACTATAATGATAATTATAAATATATACTTTTTTCAAAAAAAAAAAAAAAATCAGACGATTTCTTACGTATTTTGGCTTCGTTTGAATTGAAGAACCATTTTCGTTCAACAAATTTGATTTAAATG